CTGACACACACACTCACAGACCCCCTGCACACTGTAGGAGACACCGCACACTACACACTGCTCACTACACACTGCACACTACACACTGCTCACTACACACCGCACACTACACACCGCACACTACACACTGCTCACTACACACTGCTCACTACACACTGCTCACTACACACTGCTCACTACACACCGCACACTACACACCGCACACTACACACTGTACACTACACACTGCTCACTACACACTGCTCACTACACACTGCTCACTACACACTGCACACTACACACTGCTCACTACACACTGCACACTACACACTGCTCACTAAACACTGCTCACTACACACCGCACACTACACACTGCTCACTACACACCGCACACTACACACTGCTCACTACACACTGCACACTACCTGACACTAGTCTTGCTGCCTCTCCCAGTTGTATGAACACAGATAATATCTGCTCTTCTAGTTGCTGATCTGGTGTCAGAAGTGTCTCTATGAAAGGTGAAGGCCTCTAGATTTTGCTGATTTGAGCTCAATAAATCTGATCATGTCTTGATGTTGACTGATTTGATGAGGACAGTGCGGTCTGACTCTGCTCAGACTAAAGTGTCATCACTGAACAGAAATAATGTCCAGTATAGAATATAAAGTCCTGCTGCAGTGGAGACAGAATGAAGATTGTGTCTGACTCCATCATGAGCTTGGAGGACTGCATCCATACATCTCTGACATGACTCACATCACTGATTAATAAAGTCATCTGGAATGAAGAAGAAAGCTTCAGCAGGATCCCAGAGTTCATCAAGAGTCTTTGTGTTCATCTTCAACACCTCCTCCTTCATCAGCTCAATAATGTTGATGTCTGGTGACTGGGCTGGCCAATCCTGGAGCACTCTCTGCTTTCAGGAGCTTTGATGTGGAGGCTGAAGTATGAGCAGGAGCGCTATCCTGCTGGAGAATTGTCCCTCTTCTGTGGTTTGTAATGTAATGGGCAGCACAGATGTCTTGATACCTCAGGCTGTTGATCTCTCGCACGCCCCCATACTGAATGAACCCCAAACCATGACGTCTCCTTCACCAAACTTGACTGATTTCTGTGAGAATCTTGCTCCATGCTGGTTCCAGTAGGTCTTCTGCAGTATTGGTGATGATTGGGATGCAGATCAGCAGATGATTCAGCAGAGAAATCCACCTTCTCACACTTGTACACATCATCAACTAGAAGACCAGATATTACCTGCTGCTCTCACAGCTGATCCACCACAAGACTCCTGTCAGGCAGTGTGTATTGTATACTGCACACTGTAAGAGTCAGTGCATACTCTGCCCTGCATACTAGAACCTGCACACAACACACACCTGTGAACACTCATGACAGCACTTTAGGGCGGATGTGCATTTCTACTTTGTGTGTGTGTGTGTGTGTGTGTTTGTGTGTGTGTAGGTGGCGCTGTGGCAGGAGGTGCGTTATGCTGAGCCGGAACTCTTCCAGATGCTGCAGACTCTATACACACACACTCAGAGCAGACAGCAGCAGGTAACAAATACACACACACACACACACACACACACACACACACACACAGAGAGCTCTGTTGACATACCTCAGGTGATCAGTTTCTATATTGTAAGCACTGGAGGATGCAGAGGTGATCTGACAAGAGACAGTGTGTGTGTGTGTGTGTGTGTGTGTGTTGCGCTGCAGGAGCGCAGGCCTGTACACACTCCAGCAGAGGGCAGCAGAGGGCAGGATCTGTGGGCGAAGGTTCCTCTGGAGTTCCGCAGGTTCCGTCTGGACTCTCTGCTCCAGAACCACACAGAGCTCCAGCACTTCCTGTCCTTCCTGGAGGAGCGCTCAGCCAGGTGAGAAGGGAACAGCTGTGTGTGTGTGTTAGTGCGTGCGTGCGTGTGTGCGTGCGTGCGTGCGTGTTCGTGTGTGTGTGTGTGTGTGTGTGTGTGTGTGTGTGTGTGTGTGTGTGAGTGTGTGTGCGTCATAGCTAGCATGCATATCAGGCTTTGGTCCTGCTTAAGAAAAAAAAAAGAAAGTTTGATGAGGTCTAGTGTGTGCGGTCCGGACCGGTGTCATGTGCACTGGAGAACATGAAGAGAAAAGTGGTGAAGTAAAAACTGTGGAAACACGAGAGGAAGCACCATCTCCTGCTCCACTTCTCACATAGTGACGTGTGTAAATGATGAGCCAGCTGGTTTTGCAGTGCACACCTGTAAGTCCAGCGGCACCTGCAGGATTTTATTCCAACTACACACATATCCAGCACCGCCTCATCATCCCTTATTCTGATTTCAGTCTCAACAACACTGATGCCTGCTGTCCAGGGCTGCGTTACTCAAGGACATTGATTATGACAGCATTCATTCATTTATATATTGTGTTCTTGGTCAGTTATCCACTATATAAAACAGAAGAACCAAACGCATCTGTGGAGAAGAGCTTCTAAACACATCTGCTACACGCTTCAGCACCAGAACACAGACTGCATCAT